CAGGATCGCTTAAGCGATCCAATATACATAAGTCGTGATCGCTTAAGCGATAACCCACGCGCTTAAGCGATCAAGGAAAATTTTCTTTTGTACTTGGAATAATTCATTCTCAAATGCAGGATCGCTTAAGCGATGTCTTATCTCGCTTAAGTGATCTAGTATACATAAGTCGTGATCGCTTAAGCGATATCCCACGTCGCTTAAGCAATCAAGGCTAATTTCCTTTGTACTCTACAATAATCATTCTCAAATTCAAGGATAGAGATTTAATGTAGAAGAGAACTAGCTAACCATGCAAGCTTAGTGAACATATCTTCTTCTTCTTTCTTCGGAACATAAAGATGTTAAGAGTTCAAGTACGAAAATAGCTTCAGAGTTGAGATATGGACGAAGAAGAAGACGGTGAAATTTTTAGAGCCTTGATAAATATTACACTCTTTTTATATTCTTCTCGGTCTGATTTTAAAAAGAGTTGTTATTTTAAGGAGTAAACGAAGTTTGAATGACTAGTCAAAAGATTGTTTGCGCAGATGGTTTTGCAGAGTCACACCCCCGTACATAAAACTAAATGATATATGGTTATTCTATCACTATTATTAGTCCTTTTTTATTTAATATTTATTATTATTAATTATTTTTATCATTTCAATAAAATGTGAAAATAACACTTCAGTCTTTGTCAGCACCGTACATAAAACTGAATGATCTATTGTTATTCTATTATTTTTATTAGCTCCTGCAAGAAAATAATATATAAATAAATATAATATTTATATAAAATTGAACTTTGCAACCATCTGCTCTGCACTCTGTAGACTGAGAGAATGCCAAAATTTTTCAAAAACTTTTTGACTATGAACAGCGGCTCCTGTTATCACAATAAGGTTTTTAGCACAATAGCTGTAACATTCTATAAAATATTAAGCTTTTTGAAGATTTACTTTACTGAAAAAGTTCAAATGAAACTAAAAATTGATGTAAGCTTGGACTTGGTGTTGCTTTTACAGCTCACCATGACTAATTCAGTAAATTGATTTATTTGACACGAAAATTACTTTGATAATATTTAAAATGGATGAAAATTAAAAATAATTAATTTTATTTAATATGATATAAAGGATAATTTATTCAAGCTTCTCAAAACACAATGTAATGTCATCACACATTTACAGGATATAGCTATTGTGTTGAAAAATTTATTGTGATGGCAAGAGTCGTATGTTTTAAAAATTTTATTTAAAACATACTTCACAACTATATCACTACTTGAGCAACTCAACCCGCCTCTTCTAATGATTTCATCAATCAACTCATCAAAACTAACTTATGTACTCACCGTAATTGGTTTAACTTGTTTGCTCTTCCCAATCCAATTCTAGCAACTTTCTTCCTCCACCCACTCACCAAAATATTCAACACCCAAAACAACTTATCCCATGTCTAATAATAGCCAAGTACCTATAATGCAAGAAAACAAAAATTATTAACTGATATATTAAGGGTTGATAGATTTTAAAAACCATTTGTAGAGTCGTTTAAACGATGTGGTGTATCGCTTACTGGATCGTTTAAGTGATCTGGTATAAATAAGCCTGATCGCTTAAGCGATCTTCTGCCATATACCTGATCACTTAAGCGATCTGCTACAAGATACTAGACTTAAAGAAGATCGCTTAAGCAATCTTCTGCCATATACCTGATCGCTGAAGCGATCTGTGATCTGCTGCATTATCCGACATACCAGATCGCTTAAGCGATCCATCAGATCTAGAACACATTTTCAGTCATCTCCACTTATAATCGGTGCTACCACCCTAAGCTACCCACAATGCAAGAAAATATTCAACAAATTTCACTCGTTTCAACTTGCATTACATCAAACATAACCCAAACCCAATCCATCATTAAATCTTTGTAAATCAAAATATAAAATGAAAAGAGGAGATACACATACTTGGACGAAATGTTAGGAGGAGGAGGAGGAGGCAGATCTGTGGCAAAAAATATGTTAATGGCGGAGGAAGAAGATAGTGTTAATGGCAAGAAGAAGAAGATGTAGAGGAAGGAGGAAGAAGAAGATGCAGAGGAAGAAGAAGATGTAGACGAAGTTTAGAATAAACAGCAACCAAGGGAGAGATGCATTAATGGTGGGAGAAAGAAGAAGAAGATATTATGTTTGGGTTTGTTTGCAAGAATTTTAGGTTTTTGGGGACATATTAGAATTTTTAAAAGATTACACAATACTTCATTAATCGTAATTAACCACTAATCATGTATAATTAACCTTAATCAATAATAAGGTTATTTAGTTAACACTTAAAAACTACAAAGACTTTTAATTAAATTTGAACTTCATATGGTCTTTTAATAAGATGCTCCCTATAGGGTTGGTTCAACATCGCACCTCTATGTTGGTAAGTTTCTCATACCCTGTGGCCTCTGTAGCATTTAGCTTATTTGTTTTTTATTTTTTAACATTTGGAATTGTTATTGTGGAAGAGCAAAGTAATTTAACGGCATGGAAAACCACCTGCTCACTTGAAAGTTTTGGAGGAATAGTATGGCAAGTTGCTTCCAAGATTCTATCAAGCTTATTGGGAGACCTTTGAACCATCTTTTCACTCTTTCAATTAGTGACACAGCCAAACAATGACACTTGACGAGAGTTGAGGCCTGCTATAACTCTGTCAAGTCGTTGAATGCATTTAGGTGATCCTAGGGATCACCTATCCCATCGAAGACCGGCATGCTTGGCATCTTGAAGTTTCGACAGAGGGGTGCTCGAGCACCACTTTTGAAAGAGAGGATTCTCCATACCCCTCATACTGCTTATCTTGGCGAGCTCGAAGGCCGTTAAGAATTTGCTACTACTAGTTCAATTGATTAACTGTTGGGTCTCCATTTTTGGCTCCTACAAGGGACCCATTATGACCCTGCAATACATTTAACTGAGTGCAGGCTGACCCATTTTTTTGATTCTGTCAAAACACACTTGCGTGACCATTATTATGCGAGACTTCTGTATTGTGGTAGCTCGGGTTGTATGTGGGATCTGTTGAGGATGGAGTTTACCCTTTCTTGGCGTGAGGTGTGATCATCGCATTGGTTGTGTTTGTCTCTCTAAGAGTTATCCCTTTCTTGGCATGAGGTACAACCCTCGCGCTAGTTATGGGCGTCTCTTTGTCGTTGGCTTTTATTTCCATGTTGGTCTCTTTCTGGCGCCTTAAAGGATTTTGATCTCGCCTTCACCTTGGGTTTTGCTTGCTGATCGAGCCAGAACTCTGAATTGGTGTTGTAGTGCAAGGTGACCAGGGTGGGTCATCTCTCGCCCCTTGAGGTATGTTCTACTATTTGGAGCCTGATGCCCTAATATTGCCTTTTGTAAGGTGGCCATTTGCTGTTGTAGGGTTTGGACTGTTGTCACCAATGTTCCAATCATATCCATCGCTTGTGGATTGGTTGGGGGAGCAATTGAAGTCCCCACCACGTTTGGATTCGATGGCACTACCGGATATATCGATGAGGAAATTTGAACTTCCTCATTGATGGCTTCTAGTTTGTCGGTGCGACTGATTTCAGTCCTACTTTTGACCTAGTTGTGTGAGTCGTGATTGATGTTGCCCTATTCTCAAACAGTAGAACTAGATCCACTGGAGAAACACAAAGAGCTTTTGCAGGGGCCTTCCTTCTAGCGCTAAAATGTTTATGCAAAGACTTACACCAACCAAAGGTATGTGATTGACAATGTTAGAACCACGAAGGATGTGTACGTAATTATGATGGATCAACGATAGAATAATGCAATGATGAATGTACAGTAATTAACATAAAATATTAAAGAACAAAATAGACTTTTTAAAGTGGTTCGACAACTTATAATGCAAAATCTACGTCCACTATTATGTTATTGAATATAAGAAGTAAGTGATATGCCTTTACAAGAGTTTCTAATGAGTTCTTTGTGACCTATTTTTGTCGTCCCCCAAAACAAATTATAAGGGGATTTATATAGCGCCATTTATGGATATAAACTCGAATTCGATAAAACAGGAAAGAGTGTGATCTTCGACTTTTGATCATGGAGCCTATATTGCAAGATATCCTGATACCAAGGAAGGATTTATCCACTCCCGATTTCCCACACAAAATAAAGTTTATTTATTTTTTATAATTTTATTTATGTTAGAAGACAAAAGTGACCTTATACCATTTAATAGAATGTATCATCCCTTAACTAACACTAACAGTCTAACAGGGATCACAATGTCAATTCCATAATCATTAGGACAAAGGAGAATTCACCTGAAACTTCATAGGTGAAAAATTATTTATCCTGATAAATTGCATTAGTAGGTCCAGGAACGCCATACTTAATAATTAAATGAAAGTAAAAGAAATAGCGTGACAGGCTGACATGTTGAAACCGCCAACTTGTGAAGAAAGCAAGAAGAGAATAAAATCGACATCCCTTTATCCAAGGAAAGTAATGATCATTCCACACCTTATTCAGACCATTTTCCGTTATTTAATAATTTAATAATAATAGGACGGTACCGGTTTATTAAATTTTATGTGCCCAACACAACACAAGATGGACTTTTTTTTTATTTATTTGCTTACTTCACTTTTAAGACTTGGTCATTTGATCTCGATAATGACCAATATTATTGAACTTTGTTAATCTCAATTTCACTTTCAATATTATTTAATATCATATACGACTCAAGCTTAAGACATTTAAATTCATATCGTGTCTTGTATTTATTATTAAATAATTGACACATAAAAGAGTATATATAATTAATTTTATAAATCTATGTATAGTCCGAATTGATTGTTATAAAATTACTTTTGATCAGATCAATCATCACTAATGTTTAATCCAATGGCATGTATTGATTAAGCATTAGATAAATCTAATATTGCATGGGATGGGAGAAAATAAAAATAAAACAAATAACAATTAAGTAACTTTTGTTCTTCATTCATTTTCAGTTTTCTTCTTTATGTGCCGCCCCATATATGGATTATACAAAACACAGCTCTCCATAGCTATATTTTTCTTGCTCAAACCCATATAAAGTTTACCAAAAAGGAAACAAGATTCCTTCACTTTTTTCTCTTTTCAATCTCAACTTTTCTTTTGTTTTCTCTTCCTAACAAAAACTTCCACTCCTGTAAACTAAACACTCTGCCCATCACAAACCTTTTGGACTCATCGCTGGTTTTTAAGGTAATCGGTTCATCTTCATTCTTTCTTTTCTAATTCATTTGTTGGATTTTTTTTCTCTCTCCCGGTGGATAAATTCTCACTTTATGATCAATCAATCACCAAGTTTTCATTTTTTTTTTTTTTTTTAATTTTTTTTGGTTTCAGCTGTTGAGCTGATCATCCTCTGATTGATTGGAATTTTATTTGATTGCATTTTTTGAGTTGGGTTTATGGTTTAGTTGTTATATGTTTCGTCTTTTAATATGTTTTCTTTGAATTTGGTTGTGAATGGATCTACTGGATGAGGATTTGTTTCTGATGGATTGTTTTTTATTTTATTGAAACAGACACATTTTTCTTGTTGTAGAGATTATCTGGAGAGTGAAATGGGAGTTGATGCAATGAAAATTGGGGTTCAAATCAGGAAAGTTATGGCTTTTTCAATAAGAAGTTGCTATAGATCAGTTTGTAATCATCCATTCCTTGTGGGTTTTATGTGTTTTTTGATACTGCTGTATAGATCATCTCCTTTTATCTTTTCCCTTTTGGTTTCTGCCTCTCCTGTTTTGGTTTGTACTGCTATGTTGCTTGGTGCCCTCTTGAGTTTGGGAAAACCAAACATACCTGAAATTGAGAAAGAAGAGAAGGTTAGCACTCATGAGATTGCTTCTTTTAAAACTGGGGTTGTAGAAGAGAGTACTGTTGTTGAGAGAGATGTGATTGGAAGCTTTTCAACGGCGGAGAGATATATAGGAAAGGGAAGGGACGTGGCAGAGAGTGCTCTTGATGAGTCAATTTTAGTGGAGAATAGAGTAAGTGAGGTTGAGGAAGATGGTGGTTTGGTTGATTGTATGCCATTGATTGATGTGAATTCGAGGGAAATTCAGTGCGAGAAGCAAGTGATTGAGCATGTTGAGAGAGAATTGAATGATTTGGAGACTGAGAAGAAGAGGGAAGTTCATGAGGAGAAACCGCAGATTGAAGAAAAGTTGAATGATGTTGGTGGGGAGGTGGTAGATAATTTGTATTCTGAGGATATAGGTAATAATCTTGAGGTCAAAAATGATAAATCTCCTGCAGAGTTGATTAATGCACTCAAGGAAGATCAGCTGGATTATGCTAGAGGCATGTCTTGGAAACGGTTAGGAGAAGAATACAATGATGACAATGATGATGATGACGAAGAGACTCTGGATTCAGGGTCTAGTGGGGCAGAAAGTTCCTCACCAGATGCTTCGATGGCTGACATTCTCCCAATGCTTGATGAGCTCCACCCGCTTCTAGACTTGGAAGCTCCTCAACCTGTCCATATATCTAACGATGAATCAGATGCTGGTTCGCGGATGTCCCATAAGAGTGATATTGAAAGCGTTGAGTCTAAGGAAAGTGATAATGACGGAGAAGGAGAAGGTGAGGATGATAATGATGATGAGGAGGAAGAAGGAGAAGCGGCAAAGGAGGAAAATGAGGATGAAAGTAAATCTGCAATTAAATGGACAGAGGTTGATCAGAAGAATCTCATGGATTTGGGGACTTCAGAGCTTGAAAGGAACCAACGTCTAGAGAATCTTATTGCAAGGAGAAGAGCTCGTAAAAACTTGAGATTGATGACTGAGAAGAATCTGATAGATTTAGAAAGTACTGATCTTCCATTTAATGTTCCACCTATTGCAACAACAAGGCGAAACCCATTTGAACTTCCTTATGATCTCTATGGTGATATGGCTATTCCTGGTTCTGCACCTTCCATTCTATTGCCCAGACGAAATCCTTTTGATCTTCCTTACGACCCAAATGAAGAAAAACCTGATCTCAAAGGAGACAGTTTCCAACAAGAGTTCACAGCTGTTCAACCAAAGGAACCAGTATACAGAAGGAATGAAACCTTCAGCATAGGAGCATCTGTTTTTGGGGGTTCCAAGCAGGAAAGGCAAGACTTCAGCTGGAGACCGTATTTTGTACCAGAACGGTGTTCTTCAGAAGAAGGAACAAGCTATTCTGCATTCCAGAGGCAATTAAGTGAAATTAGTGAGTCGAAGATTAGTTCTGTTCCTGATACTGAATCATTGAGTTCAGCTGTTGATGAAGAGGACCGGCAGTTCCATGAACAAGTACCAGAACAATTTTCTTCAGAAGAAATGAGCTATACCACATTTCAGAGACAAATAAGTGAAATTAGTGATTCAAAAGTAAGTTCTGTTCCTGATATGGAGTCAGTAAATTCAGTGGTGGATGAGGAGGACAAGAAGCCAAACAAACAAGATGTTTCTCGGGAGACAAAATTGATCTCTAACATGGACTGTGCCACTGATCATGTTGAATTTGGAAGCCAATCCTCTGAAGATGTTGATGCTGTAGATATTGAACAAGCTGAGAATAGGGATGTTCACCACAATGAGGTTGAAATTACTTTAGGGGGTGTGGAGAATCACCATGAAAAGGAACAGTGTGTTTCTGGGACTGAAGGGATGAATACTCCTGAGGAATCTAATGTGAATGAGAGTTTGCCTGGAACAGAAGCAATGCCTACTCCTAAGGAACTCAGTACAAAAGAAATTCATCTGAAAACAGAACCAGGTGAAGAGGATTACAGTAGTGGGTCAAGCTTCTCATCATTGTCAGAAGTAAATGATAAAATTTCTGATATGAGAGGAGGAGGATTGATGAGTTTGGAGCCTAAAGCCAACCATTTTGAAGAATCAGGTGTTTCAACTCGTACTTCTCTTGAGGAGTCGGAATTTCGATTAATGAGCGGGGTGCTGGAACAGAGGGAGCCTGTGTTTGATTCAAGCCCCCAACAAATGGAGAAATTCCTGTCATTTGCCTCCATTTCATCTGATACACAACTAGAAATAACTAGAATGCTTGTGTATGCAAATGAATCTGAACAACACATTGAGGAAAGTGAGAAGGATACTTCTGATGATTTTGAAGAGGTGGGTACAGGCTCCTCAGAAGGTCATGCAGCAGATGAAGATGAATCATCATCAAGGGAAGTTGCATTGTCACAGACGAGTGAGCATGATCTTAACAGGGTTGGTTCTTCAGGTATTGATCCAAACACTGATGATCAAAAGGGAGCCACTGTGAGGCTGTTCTCTTCAGACATTATTCCTGTAGAGGAGTATACTTTATATGGGGGAGAACAATTTCTCCCCGAAAAGGATCAAGTTGTCTCATTAAGTCATGATTCTGAGAATCATCAAGAGTTGGATGAGAAGTTTGGTTCTGCAGTTCCTGATGATCAGATTTCTGACTCCTATTCAAGTTTGTCTGCCCCAGAGGGGCAAAAACCTTCAATGATGGTTGAACATGTTACTCTGTGCAGCAGTGAGTCTGAGCCTGTAGAGGAAACAACAAAAGATAAGGAAGAAACTGTGCAACCTGAACTGGATGAAGTCCATTTGTCAAGTTCATTAGACAAGAAGTCAGTTGAGGAAGGCATGACAGACAAGGATAGACATTTTCTGCAGGAACCAGGTCAAGGCCACTCGTCAAGTTTTGATGAAGATATTCATGTTGATGGCCACCTAGATGTTTCTGAGGGTTTGGATTCTGTGCCTTTGAGTTCCCAGCATATGGATTCCAAGAACTTCACATTGTCTACCCCAGTGGAACAGCAGTCTCCCCTTGTGACTGTGCAAGTTCCAACAGTTCATCATTCTTTAGAGGCTGATCGTGTACAGGAGCATTCATTAGATAAGGGAGAAACTCATGAGCTTGAAAAGGATCAAGTCCAATCATCTGAGTCAAAGATTGATTCTGGTCTAAGGGTGATTTCTGCCAAGTATAGTAATGAAGATGTTCATTCTGAAGAAATATCCACATCTGAATTGGAGAAGCAGTTATCTTGGTCAGATAAATCACCATCTTATGATGACGTTGATGAAACCCAGGTGAGTAATGTTACTGTTTTTTGCTTTATTTATCCAAGTATTTTGTCCTTCCTTTTTTTTTTTTTTTTAATGTCATGTCATGCTTACTGGATGATAATTTGTTTAATAGTTGTGCTTATTGCTTTAATTGTGCACTGTCATTGCTAAGAAATCAACATTACATTGTCTTTTCTTGATAGTTGTCTTCTTTATTTATATTTGTCAAACAAATGGTTCTGCTGGTTTGATCAATTGACTTTTTGATATCATGGGTAGCAATGTGAAATATGTTAAATAGCTTGTATAGGACTTGTACTGATTTCTTTGACATCATGCAGGAAGCACCTATCCTCCTGACAGAGTCTACAAAGGAAGTAAACATTGTCAACGATGCAAATGTATCTGAAGTTCCTGATCATGTTCATGAGGTGGAAAATTTGAAAAATTCATCATCTCAGACTTCCAATTCCTCTTCAACCCCATTCGAGAGTTCTGAAAGTGGATCTCCGGATGGGGAGAAAGTAAGCATTCTCAACATTGCAAATGTCTCTGAAGTTCCTAATCATGAGGAAAAAACTTTGAAAACTTCTTCATCCTTAACGTCTAACTCTGGTTCAACCACATTTGAAAGTACTGGAGATAGATCTCCTGGTGGAGAGGATGTCAAAGATGAAATCCTTGATGGAGTTGTATATGGGGACCATGATCAGGTCAAAGAACACTTCAGTTCTTTGGTAGAATCATATGGTCCTCGCATTGATGAGGAAAACTTCAATGAAGAAGCAGATGAATTAAGAGAAATTGATGAAGGATTGCTGTCTGAACTAGACACTGTTGGTGACTTTAGCATCAGAGAAGTTGGTGAGTCACACCATATTGAACTGACACCCGAGGAGATCAATATCTCAAATGTTGAGTCATTTCCCAATGATTCCATACCAGCAGCAACCAATGCAGAGCTACCAATTCTTGAAGCAAAATCAGTTCAAGATATTGTCTTGGCATTTAAGCAACTTGATGAAGGAGTAGATGTGGAGGAAGTCATCCTACCCAGTATGCTTGAGGATCAGGTAGTTGTCGGTGAAAATGCAGATCCAGTGGGTATCAGCTCAGACTTTCCTGTTCTCAACGCAAGATCTCTAGAGGATATTCATTCTGCTTTGAAGCAAGTTTCACAAAGTAATCAGGTTGAGTTATTGAAACCCTTGGAATCAGAGGATCAATCAGCAGAAATGAAAGAAAAAGAAGCGGTTTCTACTAAGCAAATTGAAGCATCAAGTATTGTTGAATCTGTTATGCTGGAAAATAGTGTGACAGCAGGTGATGATTCAAAACAAGTGTCTGAGGAAACATCTAAAAGTTCTAGTTTAAGTATATCCAATGGTGAGAAGGAAAATCATGTAAGTGGAGATGAAATTCTCGTGCCTGTTCTTGCTCAAGCTCCAGTAATTCAGATTGACAGCAAGAATCCAAAAATAAGCTGAGGTAGACATATATCGATGGTCTGCGTTTTCCTCAGTTTTTTCCACGATGATGGGCTTGGTTGACTTTATGTTATTTATCACATTGTATTTGGTAGGGGATGCATTTGGTTTAACTTTTTTTTTGGTTGATTTCTTCAGGAATGAGTTTTTAGTTTGATTTCTTGAAGTGTGAAGTTTTCTTCTTGTTTTCCCTTGCCTATTGAGAGTGAGCATATCTAATCTTGTTGAGAGGGATGTTTTGGGTCCTTGCATATTGTAAATTTTGGATGTAGAAGTGATGATGTGATAATGTTTTGACTTTCTGAGTACATGTGAATGCAATTTTGATGTAACTTATTGTCACTATGTGTTTGTTGAAAGTTGCAGATTTTGCCTACAAATATTTACATGATTTATTTATACAACCAGAAAGTTGGACAGACTTTTGATTTTGTTATTTCTCGGTAACCGAGAATTACAACCTAATGACGGTAGAACTCCGAAACTAAGCTACCCTAGAACAAGCGAGGGAAAGCTCACCCCAAAAGAACAAAGAGACCAAGGATATACAATCCTTAACAAAAGAAACAATCCTCTCCCTTCTTAAACTAACTATGGAGACTATATACAAGCCCTCACCAGGCCGACAGCCTCAAGGGCACCGAAACTGCTAAACCGCAATGGCAGCAGGCGGAACCAACCCAGCATCCGAAAACGCCACCAGCAGCGCACCAGCATGCAGATTCATCAGTTCTTATGTTGAGTTACTGAGGTGAAATAAACTTTTATGTTCGGAGTTACATTTAAGATGGGATGAAAATTCAGAGTTACATAATGCCATTAATTTTCATTATACAAGTAGGAATAACATTGAAAAATAAATACATAAATAATTTATATAATAGAGTAATATTTTTTTAATAGTCATGAAATGGGTAAAAATCATTTACCACCCCAGCTTTATTCAAAAAACTCACTCGGAGGGAACATTATAGACAACCCTAAATGGTAATTCCGTTCAACTTTTTGTTAGGATTTGTGTGAGAATATCTCATGTAAACACAAACCAAAATAAGCTACTTAACAGTCATATGCAGGATAATAAAATTTACTGTGATCACTTGTTTGGAATAGTATTATTGTACTAAATGACTACAGTAACAACAACTACTAGTACCGCAATAAAAAATAATAATGTTAGATATACAAACAAATCTTATAAAGAATTTGTGTACAAACTGATGTGATAGAAAATAAATAAAAAAGTAAATACAAAAAGTTAAACTTATTATATTCATTCTTCTATTTATTTTTTGTCACATTAGATTGTACACAAATCTTTGTAAGATTTTAAGACTCCATTTGTTTTAATATTTTTAAACTATCCTATTCCTATAATTCTGGAAATATACATTTGTTTCCCTATTCTGAAAATCATATTATATTTTATTCAACTACTTTAAACCTTTAGGTTTGTTAATTTAACTAAACACCCCCCAAAAAAGTTTAGAAATTGACAAAAACATCATCACCCACCCACATTTGTAAAATTCCAACCACCACCGCCAGAAGATGGTTGAAATTTGGTATAATGACGTACTACCGACTGGATCTAGTGGATAGTGCATCAATATAGTCTTTTCCGACCAGTGGATCTGGCCAAAAAAGGCCAGATCTACGGCAAAAGATATGATCATTAACGGCCAAATTTTTTGGTGTAAATAGTTGTCAACGATGGCCAAGATATGGACATCATTGACAACCAAACGCAGCCAGATCTAGCTGGAAAAGGTCATCTCAGCCTACAACTGGTCAGATCCAACCGGTCGTACGTCGATACAGTAACTCCAACCACCCTCCAGCGATGGTGGCCGACTGCTGATATTTAATGAGTGGGTGGGGGTGTTTTTATAATTTTTAATGTTTTTATTAAAGGGGTGTTTAGTAAATTAACAAACATAGACAGTGTTTTTGTTATTTTTTAAATCCTACCTCGTTATTACCACCTAACTCTTACTTTTTCAAAAATACTAAAACAAATGCACCTGGTGTATTTGTTTAAATATCTTATTCGTATTTCAAATCAAAATGCACATTTGTTTCCTATTCTCAAAATACTACTCCAAATTTTTCAACTATATTTAATTTTTAAATTCTACCTCGTAATAATCACCCACTACCTCGTAATAACCATTAAACTCTACCTAAAAATAATATTTCAAAAATACTACTCCAAATAACTAAGGCTCCGTTTGGTTGCCAATTGGGAATACTACTTTTAGTATTCCCAAAAAAGTTAAACAGTAAAATACCCAAAAACTTTGATTTTTGGGAATACTACTCCTAATATTATTCAACTTTTTTTAAACCCCTTAAATTTGATAATTTAATTAAATACCCCTAAATATTTTTTTTTAAATTACAAAAACACCCCAGTAATTTATATTTACCAGATTCCAGCCACCACTGCCGGAAAATGGCCGGAATCTGTTAGGATGGTGCACTACCGGCTGAATCTGGCAGGTAGTGCGCCGATCTAGCCTTTTCCGGTCAGATCCACTGTGGATCTGGCCTGAAAAGGCCAGATCTAAGGCCAAAGATCTGGCCGTTGACAGTCAGATCTTTGGCCGTAACGGTTTATAACGACGGCCAACAAACGGTTGGTCGTCGTTGACGAGAAAATACGGCCAGATCTGGCCGTTGACGGCCAAATCTGGCCATAGATCTAGCCTTTGTCGGCCAGATCCACCGTGGATCTGGCCGGCAAAGGCCATATCAGCGCACGACCGGCAAGATCCAGCCGGTCATACGCCAATACGGTGAACCCGGCCACCCTCCGGCGGTGGTGGCCGGCTGTCTGTATTTGACATTGGGTTGGGGGTGTTTTTGTTAACTTTTAAGATTTTATTATAGGGGGTGTTTTGTAAATAAACAAATATAGGGGTATTTTATTAATTTATAAATCCTACATCGTAATACCCGCCCAATTCAACTTTTTTTTTACTTTTTTCAGAAAACTTTTCCCAAAAACACCCAATTGTGAACCAAACGGAGCCTAAGGTTTCGTTTGGTTTAAAATTGGAAATACTACTCTTAGTATTCCCAAAAAAGTTAAACAGTAAAATACCCAAAAACTCTCATTTTTGGGAATACTACTTTCAATATTATTCAATTTTTTTTAAACCCTCTAAATTTGTTAATTTAATTAAATACCCCAAAATATTTTTTTAAAAATTATAAAAACACTCCAACAATCCACATTTACCAGATTCCGGCCACCATCGCCTGAAAATGGCCGGAATCTGGTAGGATGGCGCACTACCGACTAAATCTGACCGGTAGTGCGCCGATCTAGCTTTTTCCAGCCAGATCCACGGTCGATCTGGCCGAAAAAGGCCAGATCTAAGGCCAAAGATCTGGCCGTTGACGGCCAAATCTTTGGCCGTAACAGTCGGTCACGACGGCCAACAAACGGTTGTCGTTGACCACCAACGACGACCGTTTGTTGGTCGTCATTGAGAGCAAATATGGTCAGATCTGGCCGGCAAAGGCCATAGTGGTGCATGACCGGCAAGATCCAGCCGATCATGCGTCGATAAGACGACTCCGGCCACCTCCGGTGGTGGTGGCCGGCTGGGGGTATTTGAGGGTGGGTTAGGGGTGTTTTTGTTAACTTTTAATGTTTTATTATAGGGGGTATTTTGTAAAAAAAAAACATAGGGGGCATTTTATTAATTTATAAATCCTACCTCGTAATACCCACCCAATTCAACTTTTTTTAACTTTTTTCAAAAAACTTTTCCCAAAACCCCCAAATTTTGAACCAAGCGAAGCCTAAAATACGCATTTGTTTCCCTATCCTATCCGTATTCCAAGTCAAAATGCATATTTGTTTCCCTATTCTTAAAATCCTATCCTAAATTATTCAACTATTTTTAATTTTCAAATTTTATCTCGTAATAACTACCCAACTCTACCTAACAATAATATTTTAAAATTACTGCTCCAAATAACTAAACACACACAGTACCCTGTTTCTTTTGGATTTGGAAAATGGTATCAAGTGGCACACAATGAAATGGTGATCCACCTCAGCAAGCTAAGAGAGAGGCAAAACCCTTTGGTGGATTTACAGTCAACAACTGCGTGTTGTTGGTCCAGACACTCAACTCAGAAAGATTCACCATTATTTACCACACAAATCACCTGCCCTGATCATATTTTATGATTTTATCCATTCAAAATACATTAATGGGAATCTACATATTTGCTACCGAGGATATTCATACGAAGACCAATGCTTATCCAACAAATGATAATTGTAAATTCACTAGTCGAATTACATTTTGCTATAATGTTATAATATTGACTAGCTACTCCAAACCTTATAACAAAATCAACATTGTGCTTACACACAATAAACTACAAAACAAATTACACAAAAAACTTATTACAAATAAAATCAAAAATAAAATATTAGACTGAACTGTTGATACAGATTTATATGACTTTGTGGGAAGAATAAACCTAGGGGATTTTTCACTAGGGCTACATCTTCAGCAACCACCACCACTTGCAGGTTCAATAGAACTCAGTAGCCCATTGCCTCTTAGTTGCATGCAATGATCCTCTGCATCAGTTTGAGAACAAATAATCACAACAGACAATCCATTGTAGTGTGTTCTTTACATGATATTAACTGCATTNAAAATTATGTCAGTTGAAAAACTCAAAGTTTTGACTTTTCACTCAAATTTTTGAATTTTCACTTAAATTTCTTAATAGTTTACTTTAATAGTTTTGACAATATTATCCTCATTTAATATCAATAATTACACATATGCCCATTTAAATAACCCTTTTTAACACTTTCTTTTAATATGTCAATATTTTTTTACTTTCAAGTCTCCGCATTTTTTATCAGATTAACTTTTTGATCAAGCATTTTAATTCAACTAGATATTTATCTTTAATTTTAAGTTTAAAAACTTAAGACACTATTTAAATAATACTAAATAAATTTATTTAAATAATAATTATTCAATATCAAATGGGCATATATGTCCAAATGTCAAAATGTTTAGATCTTTTTGTTTGCAAAAACAAACAACTTATACTTTTAATCACACCATAAAAAATAAAAGAACAAACATACATTCGGATTATATATCAAATTTTAAACCAATTAAGTTCTATTCAGTTTTCAGATAAAAAATTAAAAATAAAAAAATAAATAAAAAAACCCACCTAAATCAGACTAATCATATAAAGGTAAAAGTAAATACCTGAACAACCCTATTTGAATCTGTTAATGTATTTGGACTTCCATCATGCTCCATAACCTTTCCACTAGGATGCGCAGTAGATGTTTCATCCCCTCGATTATTAGACAATTGGGCTTCTGCTGGGTTAAGCATTGAGGAGCCCGATTCTCCTGTTGGGAACGAACTTGGACCAACAGGTAACCCTCCATGAACCTTGCCAAAAGCACCTGAATTTTCAGCAACACCATGTAGAAGCTTATTATTCACAGCCAAGGAGATATTCAGATGTTCAAACCTCAATCATAACAGCTTCTAAATTGGAAAGAAAATAATCATCAAAGACAAAATCAAAAATAAATATAAAAAATACATCAGGAAAAGAATCTTAAACATGCACGGTGCCTAATCTTTTCAGTAAAGACTCAACCCCTAGTTGAAATAAAAAAGTAAAAAAAACTGCACAGTTTTCAGCCAATACCAACAAACTAAATACCATAGTCTTTTTTAAAAAAAAAAAAAGAAAAAAAAAAGAATCAAAGAAAAAGAAAAAAATTAAGAGTGAAAAACAAAGAAAATCCAATACTCTAATTTTACAATATTTGTCAAATCCTTACTTCCTCCAAGAGATGATACTGTTGGATGTTGCATTGCAGATTCTGACATCATGTTACTGGGAACAACATTTGAAGAAAACTTGGGAACATGAGATCTTTCAAACGGAAATCCTGCTCTATTCCATACACCCCTAGAAGCAAGAATGTCATTTGTAGAAGGAAGGGAACTCCCTTGCTGCTGTCCTGAAGTGTTATGAGAAGAGGAAACTTCCACCTCTTCAGGGAATTTTGAAGCCGAAGCCCTCGAAAGTGAATTACTAATGTTAGCTGAATCCATTGGCTTTTCAGTAACATTTTGACCCTCTTGTTTGACTCTAAGTACTGAACTCATGTTGCCAGACAAAGATGAAAAATGTTCCATTTGACCACCACTTGGAATCATGTTAAAGTTAGAAAGCTCACCACCTTTAACTGAAAAACCCCCAGGTGATTCAACCTTATTCATCTTGCCCCTCCTTGCATTAACCACAGGGTTCCGGGAATCATGTTGCTGGGGGTTCTCATTTTGTGATTCCACTGGAATTGATGAATCACCCCTCTTCCTCTTAGTTGCAGCCTTTTTACCATCTTTTTGCCTTTCTTGTGATTGTGAGTTGGCAGACCTAGTGTCCAAACTAGATGGACTTTCGTGATCAAAAGACTGACTACTTCTATGAGTTCCAGATGCTTGATAATAATCGTGTCCTGCAGTATTAGGGCCCACAGGCGGCCTACTAGAAGTAAATGGGTCAATTTTAGACATTTCATTTTCAGTCAAGCCCATTTTGGGATCTTTCGCAACTCCAACCACCTGTGAAGAAGATCCTGAAAAATAGTTTTCCCATTTCAATGATCCAATATTACAAGAAACTTCCAGGAGAGATTCTAAAAATTGAACTGCTAGTCATCTAACAGCAATCTAACTAAAAGCTTTTACCTGCACATTGAGCTGTTGAAGAATCCCCCATTTGAGTCCCACTGGTCAAAGGAAGACGTGATGACTTCAAAGCTTCAATATCAAGACCATTCTGATTGATAACTGTCTCCATCGCCCTAGAAAAGGAAATAGCATCAGAGGAAGAACCAGCAAGGATGATCCATGTTAATAATTTGCCAAAAATAGACAATAGGTTCTTTGGCTAAAAAGTTGCGATCTCTTCAAGCATGAATAAGCCAACACTAAAAGAAGTGAAAGAATGGGGGACAAGACGCTGATAAAAGTGTGCATGAAGACAAACAAGAAGTTAAACAAGACTGCAAGGCAAGTGGTGTGCAAATCATATAAATTAAATCTGCAGACACACAGCTGCTATGCAATCCTTCCAATTTTGAGCTAAACTACCGAACTATTAAAGAAGAAAAATCCATTGATACATAGAACAGTCTCAAACCTCCAAGCATATGTCTGGAAGTTTCATTATTCATCTGAAAAATATGTTTGCATAGGTAATACGGAAACCAAGTTCTAGTCCACTGGGGGAAGGAAAAAAAAAAAGATTTCCAACCTTTAAAAGAGAATATCATCATCATTCATGTTCATGGACCCCCTAATTCACTCAAGCCATATTTGATCCCAAATAATATTTTATTTTCCATAATACAACAAGAGCTTGTCGAAATGCCTCAAACTAAGGCATCACCACCTAAATCTGGCCAATAAAGTCTCATACTTTAATTTCAAAGGAAAACAGAATGCAACCCTCTAGTCTCCCAATGTACTCAACCAAATGTACTCAACCAAATTTATCTACTTAAATTGAATATCTGCAGGACTTATTAAATCCAAAAGCAGTTAAAATGCAAGAACAACAGCATCTCCAAATTTTCCACTCTGTCTATAATTTATTGGTCAATTAACAAATTTCCTAATCAACCTAAAAAGGCATTTTGAACATAAAACAAGAAAACAAATTAAAATAGATAGACTAACAGTTATATTGAAATGTCGCACCTTGATATAACTTGATATGGCATTGAATGCTCCTTCCCACTTGATTTCATATGTTGCAATATCTGAAGCAATCAAATTTTATTATAAATACATGGTGACGTACAAATTATAAGCGACTAGCACAATCAAGAATATCTAATGAGATAAAACATAAACTAAAAAAAAAAAAAAAAAAACTAACCACGTAAAGTTTTGTAGCCAATTTTGCAGGCTCATCTTTAGAATCTTGAATGAGCTTGTGCAAAAACTTTGCTGCTTCCAACTCGACATTGTGTGAAGACGCCATCTCATTTCAACTACAGTTCAGCAGAGCAAAAGAAAACAAAAAAATTAATCCATTGTGCATTAGAATTCAATCCACCTGAATTAATTATAACTTAGTATTGTAAATGCACACCCATCACGACTATCTGATATATCTAATCATCACCATACATACCTAACAGATGCTGCAGGACAGAATAAGCATTCAACAGCAAAAAATATAATTATGATAATTCTCCAGAATCACTCTATGTACATATCCAAAACTTCTTATAAGGCGCCAGGAATATGATTTTCCAATCTAAATTACCATTATTCAACTTCTCACAAGAAGATTCTAACGCATTTATTAAAAGTTGAAAATAGAAAATCATCAATTGAAGTGATCAGGAAATCAACGAATTTGTCAATATCTACTTCACCACAAACTTAAATAACATTTATAATTCATTTCTTAATTTAACCTACAAGCCCTAAAAACAGTATAAATAGCTAAATTTGCCACATATCTCATACAAAACCACCACTGTAATACACGCCTCTGCATACATGCGTACAGGTTAGGGTTCCAACAACTAGACCATTAAAGTCCGAAATAACCACATTGAGCTTTGAAACTGTGTTTTCCACAAACAAAACACAAAATCACGACGCGAATTTGTCTTAACATGTAGATGATCTTCCGGAACACTGATTTTTCCAGGAAAACCTTTCTCTAGGGAACAAGGGTTAAGAAAAGAAAAGGCAAACTCTGGAACTCAAATTAGAGTATTGAAATGGTTACCTGGTCGGAGATCCGACACGAAAAACGTTGTCGTCGTTGACACCAGTTGGTCGCTCACCTACATAGAGAAGGTTTTTGCCTTAGATGTGCGAGTAGAGGAGATAAAAATGGTCCGGTTCTACTTTCTAAACGAGCCTTTTCGAGGGACTTTTGCGAAATTATCAATTTCCCCCTTCCTTCGAGAAGTAATTAACGTAAAAGTGAATATTACTTGGATGACCACAAGTTATCGTAATTTTATTTACCCCTATTTTAAAAAAATTATATAAACACCCCTGTAGTTTGTTATAATGAAATTGACAACTCTTTTTCTAAAGAATTATTTAATCATAGGGCCTCAACAAATGATAATCTCTAGATGTAAAAAGGACAAATCTATATTTGTGATAAATCTTACTATTTTAGGGGTCTAGAAATACTATTTACTGGTAGTTTGTGAAAAAATAAAATAAACATTTTTTATAGTTAACTACTTTCTTCCAACCGAAATAATGGTTTAACGTACTTTTCCATTTATAGAATTTTAAAAAACCACTTTACTACTTAAATGACGTTTAGTTTAGGAAATGTTAGATTACTGGAAAATTAGATTGTCTTAAAGATTACTGGGAATCTTTAAGAAAATATGTTTGGTTAATTGGTGAGTATGTTATATTAATATGTTTGGTTGGAGGAATAAATTGGTGAGTATATTATTTAAATTACTAAATTGTCCTCTAATTAAATATTATTATTAAATTATGTTTTAATATTGATTATTATTTGAATATATAACCCCCCTGCATTTAAAAACTTAGCAAAAACAACCCTATAATAAAAATTCAGAAAATCAACAAAGCACCCCCACCAACCCAGCCATTGCCGGCCATCGGCAACCACCGCAGACCGCCGGCAACATAACGGTGCACAGAACGCAAGAAATGGCCTCCCTGCGTGGTATGGCCATTTTCGGCCAGAGATCTGGCCGGAAATGGTCAAACATGACAGATCTGGCCGTCAACGGCCAGATCGATGATCATTGACAGCCATATCGATGGATTTGGCCTTTGACAGCCAGATATCTAGCCAAAAATGGTCATATCGGCACACGACGGCCATTTTCAGTCTTCCATACGCCATTCCCGCGGTGGTGGTTACTAGCGACGGCAAGTGGGTGGGGATGGTGGCTTGGGTGGGCTGCAATTTGTTTTGAATTCAAGGGTAATTTTGTCCAAAAGTTAATTAATTGAGATGAAATAGTAAAAACCATATTCATGTAAATAAATTTAAAAGTAAGGGTATTATTGTCCTAACATTTTATTAATAAGAGATAGAATTGTAATAAAAAAAGATAACCCTGGTAATCTTATAATACCTAAGAAAATCGAGGTAATCAGATTACCTCTAATATTACCAATAGCAACCACTATTGGTATTTGAAGATTACCGGTATCTTATATTACTTGACAACCAAATATAGTAATCAAGTAATATAATATGACTTAACCTCAGTAATCTCACATAACCCCCAACCAAACGCCCCCTTAAATTTATATTCTGACAGCAAACAAAGAGTAAACTCAGTCCAAGCTGGGGCTTTTGAAGAGAAAAGATCGATGAGTCTTTTGATAGTGGAAGATTGGGATTTAGTGGTTGGGATTGATCGAAATATGATTCGGGAGGGGCAGCTACACAAACCTTAATCGCTCGATTGCCGACGATTTGCGAGATTGACAAGAGAAGGGTTTGAGGGGTTTTAGTGAGTAATGATTGAGGAAGAAAATGGTGGTGGTGTGGGATTACAACAATGCCGGAATTAGAAACAGAATATAAATTTCGATAGTAAAATGATATTTTAAAAGTATATGGGTGATAAAGTGTTATGAAGATATTATTTGGGTGGGGAAAAGTCATTTACTCTAACGGTGCATTTAGTTTAAGAAATGTTGGATTATTGAGAATGTTAGATTACTAAAAAGTTAGATTACCTTGAAGATTATTGTGAATCTTTAGGAAAATGTATTTGGTTAATTGAAATAAATTGGTGGGTATGTTTTATTAATATGTTTGGTTTGGAGGAATAAATTGGTGAGTATGTTACTTAAATTACTGAATTGTTCTCTAATTAAATATTATTATTTAATATTATTATTTAGATTATTATTTGGATTATTGTAACCCCTTACATTTAAAAACTTAGCAAAAACAACCCCATAATAAAAGTTTGAATAATCAACAATGCACCCCCACTAACCCAACCACCACCGGCAACCTAACGGCGCACATAAGCCAAGAAATGGCCTCCGTGCACCGTATGGCCAAATCGTGATTTGGCCAGAAAACGACTAGATCTACTTTGGTCGTTTCTGGCCACATACGTTGATCTGGCCGTTGACAACCATATCTGTCACGATTTGACCATTTCTGGCTAGAAATGGCCATATCGACACACGGTGTCCATTTCTAGCATTCCGTGCGCCGTTCTGGCTGTGGTTGTTATTAGTCGCCGGCGGTGGCAGGTGGGAGTGGGGGTGGGCTATAATTTGTTTTGAATTCAAGAGTAATTTTGTCCAAATAGTTAATTAATAGATGTGAAATAGTAAAAGCCATATTCATGTAAATTAATTAAAAAATAAGGGTATTATTGTCCTAAAATTTTATCAATAAGGGATAAAATTGTAACAAAAAAAAGATTACATTGGTAATCTTACAATACCTAAGAAAATATAGGTAATCAAATTACCTCAAATATCACCAACAATAACTACTATTTGAAGATTACCGAAATTTTATATTACTTGACAACCAAAAGCGGTACTAAAGTAATATAAGATGACATAACTCTAGTAATCTCACATAACCTCCAACCAAACACCCCCTTAAGTTTTATTGTGTGAAATGTTGGTCTGAAACAAATTTGTTCAAATCGAGGGATTCTTGTGACCTTGCAATCACTCAATAAAAAATCGTTACAGTAATAAACTCACTCAAATTGAGAGCTGTTTGTTGACCTTGCATTATGGGGCTGCAAACGAACCGAACAGTTCGCGAACGTTCATTATTCGTTCGATTACTGTTCGATAATGTTCACGAACAGTTCAATATTCATTCGAACAGGGGTTGTTCGTTCGATTATGTTCGCGAACACTATATGTTCGACTGATCTATCCGTTCACGAACAATCGAATGATTGTTCGTTCATTTATGTTCGAAAAACATGTTATGCATTATTATAATTTAAATTCTTTTTTTTTTCATTTTTATATTATGTTTGATTTAGTGTGGATGAAATTTTTTTAATGGTAATCAATAATAAAATATTATGATACTTTTGTTTTTCTTATATATATAATATGTTTGGATTTTTTTTTTCCAAATGTCATTAATAATTAAATATATAAGTAGATGGCATTTTAATTAAAAAGTAATAAATTATTATGATACATAGCATGACAAATTTAATAACATAATAGATTATATAATCAAATAATAAATAATATAGTAAATCCAATAACATAATAGCTTCATATTTTTCTAAATGTAATCAATAATTAAATATTATAAGATAGCATTTCAATTGATAAATAATAAATATAGTATGATAAATTAGGAGTGTAAACGAGCCGAGTATCACCCTAAACGAGCTTGGCTCGGTTAAGCATTAGACGAGTTCGAGTCGAGTCACGAGTTGACCGAGTCAGGAAAATTCGGCTCGTGACTCGGCTCGTTTAACGCGAGCTCGAATTGGCTCGATTATGGCTCGTTTGGCCCTTTTTTAATATAACCTGCAGATCTTATTTTACACAAATCATATCCAATTTTTGATAAATTTGCATCTAAATCAACATAAATCACTTCAAAATCAACATAAACAACGTATTACACAACAAATTATACAATCCAAGACAAAAAAAAAAAAAAACACTAATGTCCATCAAAATACATCAAAATTATGATCAAAACGGCATAGAACTCAAACTTCCAGAAGTTGAATCTCCAATGGTTCCTATGTTTGTGGGTGGCTTGGTGTGATAATCAGGAAATTGTTTTTGGGGTTTCTTGTTTTAGGATTCTTGATTTGGGGGAGAATGAATTTACGCGATTTGATTTTGGGTTAATTGGGGTTATTTGGTAAAGGGTTTATTTGTGATTTTTTAAACCTTTTAGTCTTTTATATGTCAAATTACAAAAAAAAACCCCAAAAACTTGTATTATGCGTAGAAAAGCCCTAAACGAGCCACTATTGGCTCGCGAGCCGAATCGAGCCGAGTCAGGGTAGACTCGAACTCGGCTTGGTAACTTACTCGAGTCGAATTCGAGCCGGCTCAGCTCGATTATAATCGAGCCGAGCCGAGCTGACTCGCGAGCGGCTCGGCTCAACTGATAGCCTTATGATAAATTGATAAACATAACATATTATATAATCAAGTAATTTATAGCATAACAAATTTAATAATATAATAGCTTAATTAAACCTAAATTAATCATACATTTATATTGATCATATATTACAATAAACCCTCATACCACTATGAATTTATAAGTGTTGATACAAAATATATATATTAATCACACATATGTATTGATCATATATTATAATAGACCCTCATTTCACTATGAATTTATGGGTGTTGATACAAAATATATATGTAAACATTTAAAACATTTACGATAATTTATGTAATGATAATAAATATATGATAATCTATAATTTTGGTAATTTCATACTATATTAAACATATTTAATTTATGATTAATATATGTATGATAATAATTTTGTACATACTATATAGTGGCATGTTCACTCCTTGGAATCCTTTTGGTTGTACTGTAATGTCTATGCAAAATGCAAATTCCTTTTGTTTGTGTCATGTTTAATATGGAACTAAATTTGTTTTGAACGATTTATTGTTCTGTTTAATTTATTTTGAAGTTTTATTATTTATGATGGTTATTTATTTTAATTTACTGAGTTTTTATTGATTTATTTAAAATATAAATATAGATAGAGAGTTTGTTTATTTTCAAATGTTGAATTAAATTTGTATGAATTATAAATTGTTGCATATTTGTTTTTTAGGGCATGAATTGGAAAGTTGGTGTATATTTTTTATTTGAACGAGTTATTCGAACAGGTATTTACAAGTTATCGAACGAGTTATTCAAACAAGTATTTATGAGTTAGTTGAACGAGTTAGTTGAACAAGTTAGTCAAACGAACACGAACGAGCTTTTTGTTAATCGAACGAACACGAATACACATCTTATGTTTGTTCGAACATGAACATGAACACGAACAATCGAACATGCTTATCGAACGAGCCTGTTCATTTATGTTCGGTTCGATTGCAGGCCTACCTTGCAATGACTCAATGAAAATTTGTTGCCCTATAATCACTCAATAAAGATGCACTATCGTTAACGGTGTTGATGAGTTTTCCAACATAACAAAATTACAAAATTGATAAAAATGAAGAAAAGTTTGTATTAGCCAAGCATATATCCTTAAACCGCTTCCACAAAGGATTCATATGGTTTGAGCCCTCGAACCGTCAGATGTATATAGGCTTTTCTAGGCTCCATCCATAGACGTAGTCACACTACAATATAAAGGTTCAATTGAACTCGCTTAAACTTAAAAAAAAAAAAAAAAAAACCTCGAACCGTCAGATGTATATAGGCTTTTCTAGGCTCCATCCATAGACGTAGTCACACTACAATATAAAGGTTCAATTGAACTCGCTTAAACTTAAAAAAAAAAAAAAAAAATTATCTTGACAACTTAAATTCATATTGAGCCCACTCAAACTTTGAAAAATATTTCTATATTTTATATTATTTACAATTTTGATCCTATTTAAATTCATATTAACCTCACAAAAATTTATTGTAAATTTTATCAACTTGAATGTTTTAAACCCACTCATTAAAAATCTTGGCTGCGTCCTTGGCTCTGTCCCATAATTTTGGTGGCATGACGGTGTGTGAGATGGTAGCTCTTGGTCACAATTTAAACATGAAAATATAATAGGTAATACTACACTTACAACTCAATTTCATAAATTTTCTTTTACAACCCCAACGTGACAGCTCGTAAATGAGCTCGTATGTTTATTATGGGTTGCGTTGCCTATTTGCAAAATGTCACATTAAAGTTGTGAAGTAAAGTTTGTAAGATTGAGTCGTAAGCCAAATTTTATGATTTTTATTCAAATATAACTCATGTCAATGACGGATGCCAGTATGCCACGCTAGTTGTCAGTAATTTGCAGTTACTTTAGAGTCTCCTTCCTTTAGGCAAAATTTTCGGGTTTGGGCAAACAGTAGCTAGTTACCACTGTTCGGCCCATTAAACCAGATAGAAACTATACTTGGATTTTTCCAAGTCCATTGCTATTTAGACACATGTCGACTTCCCATCGACTCAGATCTATTGCACATTTGACAAAAATGTCTGGCCCATTGGGCTTTTTCAGGGACGTACCTTGGTTATCTACAATCCATAGAATCTCATCTTTTTCCTTCGTTTATCAAATTGAAATAAGTTGAATTTCCCCCACAATACTCATTAATAGAATATAAGTTGAATTTTTTTTTTAAATTAATCACTAAGGTTTTGAGTAAACCTTGGCATCACAACTATCATTTTTTTTTTATTGTCACAAAGCTCCCTAAGGTGGAATATATAAGATTTACTCTAAAAATAATTATGAGATGGACGATTAATTATTGAATAACGTAATGAGAAAAATGTTTTTAACCCTAATTTGATCGGACCAAAATAATTTATATGTAATTTTTTTCTAATTATTAAATATTTATTTGTAACGCATCTACTTTAGCACATGAATTATCTCAGCTTAAAAGCATGATCTAAGTGAATCCAAGTTACTTTATATTAAATATGATGAAATCATAAGTGAAAAGAATGTAAAACAAGTTTAGTGTACCTAATATTTCCTCGTTTATTAATTTAAGGTTTATTCAGGAGTGATTTATTTCAAGAATATTTAGTTGGTTAAATAGGCTTTCTAGATTGGCAACACATAATCGATCAATTAAAAAGTTGCTGTCTTCAGTAATTGGATGCACAAAAATTATGCTGGTTGCTTTTATGAGATCAATTGCTGCTATTGATGAATAAATTATTTTTTTAGAGAAAAAATATTTATCTTATATAATCACGCTCTCAACGTATAAATCTAGATTAAAATGTTTCTTGTACCCTCTTGTATTTGATCCATTTCTTACGGATTCAAACAGATAACAAAAAAGGGAGTTAGGTTATACTGTAATGTAAAAAAAAAAAAAAAAAAAAGGTTTGTTAACTGCTTTAGTATTGTTTCTTATAAGACAAAGTTTGTAAACTGCTACAGTATTGTTGTGTTACAAACACGTATAATCTAACATAATTTGTTTAGTTTATATTATTACATGGAATGAGAATGAAAATATAAACGTGACCAGCAGATGGCAAGACTTTAGGTTATTAAGAGATTTTGTGTTTTAGTCTCATAAGGTGGTCACCTACTATATTTGTAAGGGTGTTCAATAGATCCTATGACTTGGAAATTATTAGAGATGCATGCAAACTGACCTTCCGACACCTTGGTGCAATGTTCTGAAAACCGGACCAGACCGTCCGGTTGGACCGGTTCGACCGGCAACCGACGGCAAATCTGGTCCGATATATATAAAAACAGTCATTTGGATTTAAATCGGATTGGACCGCGGTTGGACCGCTGGAATAGTGCCGAATCGCTGTCCAATCGTAGCTAAATCCCGCCGGATTTCGGCATCTTTCGACGGAGAAACACCCCCATTCGACGTGACGGCATCTCCACGACCAAACCCATCCATTTTCAGTCTCCGTTGTCCAGCTTTCGTCGATCACCATCCACCTAAAGTTTACGCAACGTCGGATTTCTTTTGTTGATTCCGGCGAGTTCCGACGCCGATGGAACTCCCTAGCACCACCATCAGAGTCGCCAGCACCTGCACATCAAAAGCCCCATGATTCCAGCTTCGATTGGCCGTCGATCGTCGCTACCGCCACCACTCACCAGAATCTTCGTGCGACAGGGGTGTTTTAGATAGATTTCAAACCTTAAGGGAGTATTATAGGGGTGTTTTTGATGAATTTCAAACCTTCAGGGACTAAATTTTTTTACAAATTACGGTCCAACCGACCGATCCAACCGGTCAAACCGGACCCTTAAACGGGTCATTGTCCGGTCCAGTTTTTAGAACATTGCCCTGGTGTATATATATATATATATATAAGAATGAAAAAATAATATAAAATAAGTAACAAAAATGGAGTTCATTATAAAACATTTGGAAAAAAAATTATTTATTATTTCTAAAAAATTTAAATGCCTTAGAATTTTATAAAACCTAGTTTAAAATTAAATTATTTTAGCTTAAAAACTTTCAAATACACAATTTTTTTTTTTTTTTTTTAAATTTCTTTCTCTATCCTAAAGCCAAAAAGTAGGCACGCAAAATTACCAAACAGTATATGAAGTAACCATTTGGAGGTGCAAATCACGTGACTTTGTTTAATGCCGTTGCAAATCCCGTGTTGTTTGGATACGAGGCGTACTTTATCCCCGACAGGTTTTTTATAATTCCAGCTTTTGATTTTCAATTGCATTCATATTCCCGCTCATACACACTGTCCGTCCTCTGTCTCTCTCTCTCTCCATCTCCATTTGACCAATCAATCACTAGCCGTTTCTTACGCTAATCATATCCACTCCTTGGTTCAAGCAAAATCTCTCCCAATTTTTTTATTCCCACACTACCGCAAACTGGCATTTTCTCTGTCGGGATCTCCCTCACGGCAGAGTTTCATCGCTAAATTGAAACCCTAGGTTGCTGAAATGAATCACTATCACATCTATGAGGCCATTGGCCACGGCAAGTGCTCGGTAACTTCTCTCAACTCTTTCTCAGTTTTTGGCTCCGATAATTTGTTTGAAATTAGTTTGAGATTCACTTAACTTTGTTCGGATTGTGTGTAGACTGTTTATAAAGGGAGGAAGAAGAAGACTATCGAGTATTTCGCTATTAAGAGCGTCGATAAATCGCAGAAGAGCAAGGTTCTTCAAGAAGTAAGCGAGATTTAGTAGTTGAGTTTGATTGTTAATTTGCGTGATTTTGTGTTTTATTTTAATTGAGGGTTAAAACGTGAATCTGCTAAAAAAAAAAAAAAAAAAACAAAAAAAAAAAGATTAGATGAAAAGGATATGATATTTGTGTAGTGGTTTGATGCTTTTTGAGCCAATTTGAAATGTTTTAAGGCTAAAGTGATTTCGGCAAGTTGTGGATTTCTAAAGATTTTAAGCTTAATCACTAGGTAGTAAGCAAGTATGAGAAATGTGGTGTTTAAAGTAATATCAGATTTTAGTTGGTTATAATTTTGAAATTTATGTTATGAGTAGATTAAATCAAAGTCCATAGATATAATTCTACCGAAGACATTGTTAATTTCACATTGGTTGCAATTGAAATCCAGCACAATTTGACTCACTGTTTGGGCCTTTTGTTTTTTGATTTTAATGCAGGTGCGGATACTTCACTCTCTAGATCATCCAGACGTTTTAAAATTCTATTCCTGGTAAGTTTGCTAATAAGCAGAACTACAAAAGTCACTATGGTTGGTATAGTTGTGTTGCTTGATGTTTCCTCTTTGAATTTTAGTACATTGTTTTTCACCTGGAATTATGATGGAATTTTTTTTTTTTTTTTTTTTTTAATCAAAAGTTTTGCTTCCCTCTTACAAGTTATTTTGTTTGCCAACCAGGTATGAAACATCTGTTCATTTGTGGTTAGTTCTGGAATACTGCGTTGGAGGTGATTTAATGACCTTACTACGGCAGGTATCCTTCACTTTTGTTTTTGCATTCACTTTTTATGCTTTGGTTCTTTTCCTGAGCACGAAGGGCATGGTCAACTTTTGGACAATGTCATTGATAATTCCATGGGTAGATATATTTCAACAGATTATAAGTAACGAGGACACATACATGGATTGTTATATCCAACAAAAAACATATGATCGTCGACAGTATGTAATTTTCAAAAGGTCAGAAAGATGATATAACTCTGAGCTGCACTTGATCTTTTACCCAAAAATTCTGAACCACCAAAATATGCCCATACATGGGAAAACTATTCAATCCTGATACTTTGTTTTCAGACAGATTGCAGTTATGTAATTGTTTCTAATCTAACTACTGACTTTTGTACTTTAACCAACTTAGCATATTTGATCCTCAATACATATATTTGTTTAAAGCAACTGCGGATAACATCAAGTTCCTGTCTGTTAACAATTCCTTAGGTCAGCTGTATTAAGTGCTCTAAGAAAACATTAAGGCATCTTTCTCTACATTATGTCTCCTCTGAGTTATTTGAGGGCTGTCTAAAATAAACCACTGCTCTAATACATGGAAAATTTATGATTCAGCAATAGTGGAATTGTTGGTTTGCAAAGTTATGTTATAGTATCAACTTAATATTGTAATGAACATTGTCATAATACTAATATGGAGTCTTTTTATTTATGTTATGCAAATTTAGAATTGCATTGTAATTCTTTATAGATGAATTGCAGGATAATCAGCTACCTGAAGATTCTATTCATGATCTTGCTCTAGGCCTTGTCAAAGCTTTGCAGTAAGAAATGCTCATTTTTTTGTTTATTTCTTCTTGTGTAGTTGTTACATGTAATGTTTTCTGGCTGTGGTCACTATTGTCAGGTTTTTACATTCAAAGGGAATCATTTACTGTGACTTGAAACCATCGAACATCCTATTGGACGAGAATGGACATACAAAGGTGATTATGCATTTTGTTTTCCTCTTATGATTTGGATGTTGTGAGGATATTTGTAATTTATTAACAAGCATCCTTATCTTTGTGAATGCAGCTATGTGATTTTGGGTTGGCAAGGAAATTGAGTGAGATATCTAAAACTCCTTCTTCCATGGTATGCTACTATCCTACATACTGTAATGTTTTACTTGTTATGCTTATGGTTTGGATGATCTTAGTCATCAAGATTTGACATTAGTTTTTCTTACATTTTTTCTTATTTTTGTACTTCAATGAACTTTTGTAGTTGCCTCAAGCAAAACGTGGAACACCCTGTTACATGGCTCCTGAGCTCTTTGAGGATGGAGGAGTCCATTCTTATGCATCTGATCTGTGGGCCCTAGGTTGTGTACTATATGAGTGCTATGCAGGTCGGCCTCCCTTTATGGCAAGGGAGTTCACTCATCTAGTAAGATCCATCCTTTCAGAGTCAACGCCACCTCTTCCGGGTACTCCAAGCCGTCCTTTTGCCAATTTGGTCAATTCTCTACTAGTAAAAGATCCAGCTCAAAGAATGCAGTGGCCTGATGTGTGTGGACATGTTTTTTGGAGAACTAAATTGACTGTAGTGCCTTTACCTCCTCAGCCTGCTTTTGATAATATGATAGAATCATACATTAAACCATGCCTCTCAGAACGTAACGGTGATAGATCTTTACAAAGCAAGACTCCTCCTAAATCACGTGAAAAAGATGCAAAAGGTGGTATGAAACAGGATGAGAATTCTATATTGGGATCAACTCCAGTCAGGGGTACACCAAGTGGCCGGAAGACACAAACTAAGGCATCTGGCAGAGTAGTCGAGGAGAAACAGAAAGATGCTTCCAGTGCTACTAGGCGTGTCAATCTCTTACGCTTGTCAAGAATAGCAAAAACAAACTTAAAGAGGGAGAATGAGAAAGAAAACTATAGAAGGCCCTTGCCTAATGGCTCTGAGAATGATTCTGAAGTCAAAATTGAGGACACTAATATGGAACTTGATTTTAATGAAAATGCTGAAGATGAGTCACAAGATGAAGCAGATGGGTCTGATAATCCTCCTTGTACAACTGAGGACCAATCACCTATTCAAACTCCACATCATGAGAAACTGGAAGAGAGTGGCCGCAACTTACATCATTTAGACACACCACCTGTATATAATATGCCTGCCTCAGATGAATCAAGGAAACCTGATCGTCAGTCATCTTCAGAGCATGTTGAAGTGGCTGCTACTCCACCCAGTGTCAGCCCTCAACTCAAAATTCAGAGAATTAAAGAAGGTTCAGTGCCTGCCCATGATTCTGATTCTTCAAGATCATCTAACATCCTTTCACAGGTACTTTGGCATCCATCAGATCTTTCAGTCCGGCCTGTAATGCCCAGCAGAAAAGCTGATAAAGTATCAGAAGTATTTCCTTCACTTCCATTTGAGGCCCTGCAAGCATCTGATTTTGTGAAGATGTCAAAGGAGCAGCTGGATGCTCTTAACAATAGGATTCTAGCCATTCTTAATGGAAACGCTAGTGTTGGGGAGAAGCAGAATGTGATTAGATACCTTGAAATGTTGAGCAATAATGCCGATGCAGCCAATATCTTGACCAATGGGCCAATCATGCTCTTGCTTGTTAAAATGCTTCGGCTGTCTAAGACATCCGCTTTGCGAGTGCAGCTAGCTTCGCTTATTGGCTTGCTCATTCGGCATTCTACTTTTATTGAAGATGATTTGGCAAATTCTGGAATTTTAGGCTCACTAACTGATGGCCTTAGGGACAAGCAAGAAAAAGTGAGGAGGTTTTCGATGGCTGCTTTGGGTGAGTTGCTTTTCTATATTTCAACACAGAATGAACATGCCAGAGATAGCAATCCACCAGAATCTCCATCAAAGGATAGCCGGGCAGCATCTGGCTGGCAGGTTAGCTTTGTAATCTATTGCTACAACATTTCTTTTTTGTGACACATCATTTGTGTTTCTATTTAACTATTCTGTGCATTTTTGGTTCTATATACTTCCAAAAAGCCAGAACTTGTGATTGTACTCCGTTAATTCGCTTACTGTATGTGTTTTCTCCATTTTTGTGCATCTATTGAAGTTTAAAATTGATGCTCTTAGATAGCTGTTGGTTACAGGATAACTTAGATCCTTTGAGCATTATTAGGTTGCTCTTCTTCTACTTTTCTCTTTTTGGTTAACTTTCTTTTGTTGGATAAGCAGGTTCCAAATTCGTTGATTTCATTGGTGTCTTCAGTTTTACGTAAAGGGGAAGATGATATGACTCAACTTTATGCATTGAGGACAATTGAAAACATCTGCAGTCAAGGTGGACACTGGGTTGCTCGTTTCATTACCCAGGATGTCATTACCAACCTGTGTTATATATACAGAGCTGCAGGGAAACAGGAAAGCATGAGGCTAACTGCAGGATCATGTTTAGTTCGCCTTGTGCGCTTCAATCCTCCTAGCATTCAGCCAGTTATGGAGAAACTTTCTTTCAAGGACATAGCATCTGTCCTTGTTAAGGGTAGTCCACGTGAGCAGCAAATCAGTTTAAATCTTCTAAACATGGCCATGCTTGGAAGCCATATGTTTACCAATCTTGGACGACACCTTCTATCCTTGGTGGAGGATAAGAATCTGGTCCCTAGTCTTGTGTCTCTAATCGAACAGGGAAGTGAAGTTCTAAGGGGAAAAGCACTTCTTTTTGTTTCTCTCCTTTGTAAGAATGGAAAAAGGTGGCTGCTGCACTTTTTTTGCAATGCTAGGTTACTTTCGTCAGTGGATAGATTGGCAAAAGAGAAGGACAGTTTTGTGCAGCAATGTCTGGATTCATTTGTACATGTTGTGACATCTATTATACCAGGTCTACTAGATACTATAACTGGAGATATTCAACAAATGATGGGAGGAAGGCGCCATGGGCAGATCTCTTCCCTCACCAGCCGAGCTGCGCCAAAAACCAGTGTTCATTTGTTTCCAGTTGTTCTTCATCTTCTTGGGAGCTCATCATTTAAGAATAGGGTGGTGAGCCCTCTGGTCCTGCAGCAGCTGGCAAATCTTATTAGAGTTGTGGAGACACCATTTCAGGTAAGTAACCACTATTTGCTGCTTGGTCATCACTGGATTTCATCATAGAAAAGACATTTGTGTTCTTTCTGACTGTCAAGCAAAACTTTAGGGTATAAAAATCATCTTTTTATTTTCAGGGGAGAGATGACTTTCAAATAACTCTTTTACGAATTCTGGAGTCTATTGCGGAGGAGTCCTCGTCAATTCTTGGGAGCCCTGACGTTTTTACCCGTGAAATTCTTCCTAGTCTGGCTGTTCTATATAAGGGTAATAAGGATGGTGATGCCAGATTTTTGTGCCTGAAAATTTTATTTGACGTGATGATCATTTTTCTGAGTGAACCTTTTGAGGATCAGCAGAGATTGAAAGACTTGAAGTCCATATCCAATTCTCATTTCCTTCCTCTGTACCCTACCTTCATTGAAGATGAAGATCCCATACCCATGTATGCACAGAAGCTTCTTGTGATGCTCATAGAGTTTGATTATATTAAAATTTCAGACATTCTACATCTGAAGACAGTTTCACAATGTTTCGAGTTTTTGCTCGGTGATCTATCAAGTGCAAATGTAAACAGTGTTAAATTGTGCCTGGCTCTGGCATCTGCTCCTGAAATGGAATCCAAGTTACTTTCTCAATTGAAAGTAGTTAGGAGGATTGGAAACCTTTTGGAGTTTGTATATGCAAAGGGTATGGAAGATTTTCTTGAACCAACTCTTGGCCTGTGTAGAGCTTTTCTTCTGCGTTCAGTAGGCTGTAGAAAAGGCGTCATCAACAAAGAACCAGCACTCTTAGGTGATTGCCCTTCTGAGTTTAGCAGTGCAATTGATCAACAGCAATGTATAAGAGACATAATGGATTTTGGTGGAAATGTCGGTGTCTTGCTGGACCTAAGTGGATCGCATGAACCAAATATTGCCGATGTGGCATCTGAATGTGTTGTATTGCTACTCAAGTCAGCTCCAAGAGAAGCCACCACAGGATTTCTTACTAATCTTCCAAAGGTTACTGTGATCCTTGAGTCTTGGCGCAGGAACAACTCTCAATTCATTTTGCAGCGGATGCTGCATGCTCTTGGTTATTCTTGTAGTCAATATTTGTCACACGCAATGATTCTATCCATATCTATTCCGGAAATCTCAAGGATTGAAGCCATTATTGCTGAGCTGAAAACTTCAGGTATACCTGCTTTAACAAATGCTGCCTTGCTTGCAGCCTCTGAGTTGCAGCGGCTGCCTCGATGCATTTGAAGTCCTGGAAACGGCATGTGAGTTGCTCTTCCATCTTGTTTTCAGCAATCGCCTCTCGGGTAATTTATTGCCTTAAGTTGCAAGTGCTCTTAGAATTCATTCATCGGCTTTTCACTAGGACATAAAAAGCTATTTTCGTGAAATCTTGAGGGGGAGGTCAATGATAAATGAAATGTGAGGCTTGTCCTTGTATAATCTACGTATACTTTTGTATCATCTATACACTTGTTCAATGAGTTCTTTTTCCTGAAAATTTGCTCATAAGCAAATTAGATCACCTTCTATGCAATTCTTGTTCTTCAAAATGTTGTTTACATAACTTTT